CATTTTACTAGCGTTAGATAGGAAGGAATGAAGTTCAAAACTCGTATTCGGAAAGATAAAGGATTCCCTTACTAGAGAATAGTGTAGACTTTTATAATTAACTAAACAGATTCTAAATTAGCTTGCCACATTGATGTATTCAGCTTGTAAAAAATGGTTAGTAGCTATTGAAAAGAATAAACATAGGCGGCCCAGATAAGAATGAGATAGCCCTGGATGCTTAAGAAATGAGAATAATTAACCATAAATTAAACGCCTTGAGATGCATATGCATAGTACGATTTTTGAATTAATATGCAATAAGAGAAAAGCCTGAAGCAAAAAATATTGCATACTTGAAGCATTACGTCGTGTGACCCCTGAAGATATCGAGCAGTGGTGCTCTTCAGAAAGAAGCATTTCATCTTCTGTTAGCTGGTGTGTATGATCTATCAGTTCCAAGGCTTCAGGATCACTTTCTTGGAAGCCGCTAATTCGATGGCCACTGTCACCAGCCGACAATTTTGCAATATCTCGAGAGGCATCCTCAGTACTTCTGCTCATTCTGAGCTTACGCCGCATTGCCGAGGCTGCAGCAGAAGCCACATTTACTGCTGCTTGTGCAGCAGTGTGCACAGAAGAGCCTGAAAGTTATAAAATTTATAAGACATATTTTATACAAGCTAACATTGACGCAGTATGGAGACTCACCGGACACGACAGGAGGAACATTATCCTTTTCATAGTTATCGGAAATATTTGGCAGAAAGAGGAAATTTTGGTTAGCAATGGGTGAAAAATGGGCTTTTTTGAAGGAAATGGCATCTAAGATGTGATTGCATGGCATGCTGGCTCTTCGATGCCTTCGGTCTAGGCGACTGTGAAGTTCATCCAAGCGAGCCATAAAGATGTCCTTTTGCTCTTGTTCAAAATCCAACTCTTCTCGGTAAGCCAATTCCTCAACAAGATAGGCTGAGTATTCGCGGACACACGAATCAAGTTCTTCTAGCATAGCATTCAATTCTCGCAAATTCAT